GGGCCGCAGCCCGCAGTGAGGGGCCGCAGACGCAGCACCGGGAAACCGACATCGCGGCACCGGTGCAGGCAGACGCCGACCGCACCAGGCTGGAGCCGAGCACCTGCCTCCCAGCCCCGCTCAGGCAACAGGCGCGTAGCAGCAGCCTTCGTCTTTCAGCGGCGGACTTCCCTCTGCTGCTGGCCTCCCGCTTCCCAAAGCTTTTCCAGCCCAGGGGTTGGAGCAGGGCCCCAGTTGGTTCTGTTTGTCCCTCGGTGGATGTAACAGCCTCCACTAACTGCGAAGAGCTGGTTCTGTGCAGAAGGGATCCATGTCCAAAACCTTCTATCCAAGATGAGGTTGAACGTCAGCAAGGACTTGAGGTCTCCTTCCATTCCACGTGTCTGAAGTGCCACGGTTCTGCATGATGCCGTTTTCCACGGTGTATTTCAGAGAGCAATAAATTACAAACCAAACCTCACCGAGGAAGTGAAAGTGGTCTCGCCACGCAGGAGTTACGCAAACAGAGGACGAGAGGCGCAGCTCTGGTTCCAGCGCCGCGCTCTTTGCAGTGAGCGAGCAAGGAGCAGAGCCAAAAGGACTTAACAGCAAGTGCAGCTGGCATGATCCAGACAAACAAGCAGAAAAAAAGCCCAGACAATAACCCCCCCATTTGGACTGATCGAAGCCCCAAGAGACTTCCAGTGCCACAGATACACCCCAACACATCCTTGCAGCTACAGGACAGACAACCTGCAACACAGCGCTGCTGTTGAGCCAGCAGCTCCTTTATCACACTGGGACAGCTTGTGTCCCCTGGGCTTTGACCCTGCATTAGACAAGACAAGCACTGAAGCAGTGTTCTAGAACACACAGAAAACACACAAATCCATGTTTTACCCACAGTGCCTTGAAGCCTCAAGGTCAGAGGAAGAGCAGCACGAGTGGCCCAATGCACAGGGGGCAACGGCAGCCAGCTGAGGAGACAGTGTGAGAGCTCTTCAGTGCCTCAGGTCCAGTCCAGGTCAGAGGCAGCGGCAGGTTCAGCCTCTGCAAGTAAAGCCGGTGGGGCCCCCACAGCTCCTTCACAAGCACAGCTCGCTCTCTCTTGAGGGCAGGAGGAGAACTGCTGCTTGAGCTCCACTGCTAGCAGCTTCACAGTCCACTGAGGCACAGCCTTCATGCTGCTATTAAGACATGATTTTTCAAGGCTGCCAATTGCTTTTCCTCACAAAAAACACAAAATCACATGAAACAGTTTTGTCAAAAGAGGAGGAAAAAAAATAAAAATAAAATGGAGACAGGCTTGTGTTTCTAATCCAAATGTACTTCTCTTTATTCAAACCAGGGGTAATCACTGGTTAGTGCAAAATGCACCTAAACCTTTTGCCTGAGGGAAATCTACATCTTAACAAGGCCTCCGTTAACCCCTAATGAAATCCACAGAGGATTGGAAAGCGTTTGAAGCACAGATCTAACACTGCGCTTCCTAAGTGACTCTGTGCATCAGCAAGTCTGCACCTGCCTTGTTACCAGCTCTATACCATCAGGTAACAACAGCAAAATACACTCAGTAGATTTCTTTTAACTCCCAGAGTTTCGGAACCATCCGCCCCACTGCTAATGTCAGGAGTAAGGGGGTTGCAGCTTACCCTCACTTCCAACAGTGCTAACGGAAACCCTGTTTTAAATTAAAAAATAAGCCAGCATACATAGTAGAAAATTTCTCTTAAAAATTTCACAATCTGTAAATGTATATATTTTTTTTCTTTTAAACATAAAAGTTTACAATATATGGTAAAACAAAGGCTCAGGAAAAATAATTTCAAAAAAAACAAAAAAAGAAAAAAAGAAACAAAAAAGAAAAAAAGAAACCTGAAGTTTTGAATTAAAGCTGAAGACATTTTTAAAACCCTGTAGTTTGAACCAGTGACATTTTCTTTATTTGTGCTGATGGGTTAGAGAAAGGAAAATATTTAAAAACTGCAGTCCAAACACCCACAGCTTTGCCTTCAGAAGCCACCTTCCCCCACCCCCCAAAAAAAAACGTTGTTAGGTTTTTCTTCCATCAAGTATGTGATTGTCACAAGTTCAGAAGTCTGGGATTCCTGGGTTCAGCTGGTACCAGACATCCCAGTGTGGACAGAATTCCCTGATTGCCAGCCCATGCTAGCGCCTGTAGGGGTGAAATCCTTGCACGTTATGGTTCTGTCCTCGTCCAAAACCACTTCCTCCTGCAGGTGGGCCACTTGATGGTGGAACCGAGGGGCCTCCATAGGGAGGGGGTTGCTGGCTGGGATCAGAGAAGCCTTGTCCAAAACCACTCAAGTCTTGTCCATACCCTGGGGAGAAAAAAAAACGCAGCCTCCAGCCTCACCCATCCACACACACACACACACACACACACACACACACACGCACACACACCAGCAGAGGCGTGAATCCAGGACCTGATCCCGCCCAATCCCCACGCACGGCCTCACACACACCTCGAACACATTACACTGAGCAGCTGCTTTCACTTCTTGCAATTATTTATCTTCTACACAGAAGAAACAGGCAAAAAGCAGAACTGAACAGGTACGCAGAAATGGCAGTTTTCACTTCTGAGGTAATCCTACCCAGGCTGGCAGCTCAAGTATCCTGTTTTGGCTGTTCAAAAGCTTGAAGCGGCTTGCAAGTTTGCTGTCAGCTCATCCTCAAAACTTGTATTTTGTTTTGGGTTGGGTTTTTAATTGCCTAAAAACTAGTACTGTCAGGGTCAGCAGAGATGAAGGGTTTCCTGAAACCTATTGTACCTGCAGCACCTCAGTTAGACTCTGGCTTTGCACACTCAGCTTCACCATCTTCCCTGGACAGGCAATAAGCTTTCTTGCTGAAGAGACACACTGGAGAAGACAATCTTAAAGTCCCTTTCAAAAACGTAAGAGTCCTGCTGCATGAATATTTATTTTCATTAACTAACCACCCTCTCGTTCAAGGAATACTAAATTCAAAAAATGTAAGTTGAAATGTGAGGTATCAAAGTCGGAAAAGCAGAATCCAGAAGGTTTCAACTACTGCCCCCATTATACACTTTATAATGGAGCCCTTGGTCAGAAGCTGCCTGCAACAAAAACTAACATCCTTCCCCAAAAAGTCAGTGTATGGATGGGCTGGAAGGTGTGTGTTGCACATTCAAAAAACAAAGCTCCATTTCAAAACCTGACACCTTACAGCTACTGCAGATGGTGGCAAGTACTCCCAACCCAGCTAAGAGAAGCAGCAGTCACCCACTACACAGCCCTTCTCCCACGTCCCCCATACAACCAACCGCATCTGAGTTCATTTAGTTTTAGGTACTGCATCTCAACTAAAGTTTAGGTTAATGCATGCCACAAGTTAACATTTATCTTGTTCTTCCTCAGTCTGGGGAACTAAACACTTCTAAGGTCACATTGTCCTTCTGCCACTGAGTGAGGCTGCGACCACTGCTCTGCAACATAATCCATGCAAAGACCCGATTCCAACCAGGCATAGAGTAAGCAGAATCTGAGGACAGGGAGAACGGGTGAAGACAAAAGATTTGCTGCAGTTCTTGCTGCCAATATGAAAAGACAACTTGATGTAAATTAAGAACACTGAGAATCTGAGAAATTTAGTAAGTGTTCCCGTAATTAAATATGACTCTTAATCATAACAGTAGCATCAGTGCAAGCCTCTGCTATAAAAGATGACATTAAGGATCCTAATTACTAAGTACATTTCTGCAGTTCTGTTTCTCTCTATGCAGGCTTAAAGCAGGTTTAACTCTCTTAATCCAAAATAAAGTCTCTTAGCATGTCTTCAGTATTTCAATTGCAAGCTCTGCCTGTCTCTCAGGACTTGTTGCCACTAATGAGCATTAAAAGCACGTCTATCACAAGCCCCTATTAGCTCAAAATGCTAATCCAGTCATTTTTTCAGACATAGATAAGCAGGCAACCAAAAATACAGTTTAATTGTTTGCCAAGGGGTGAGGCTTAGGGTAGGAAGAGGGAAAAAAATAAAAATCAAGTTATTCTCACTGTACACTGCAGTGTTACAGCATTAAGTGTTGGAAACCTCAGTTCTCAATTAGTTTATCACAAAGAAAACCTCTAGCATAAACCTGAACAGCCAGACATTTTAGTACATCTTGTCTTCCCTCTGCTTTCTTCGTTCCTGCTGCACCAGGAATCTCAGCTTGCACCAGCACCTCCACTCTTCAAGTGAGCTGTGCTCACCAGCATGGTTTTGCTCAAGAACCCAAGCTCAGTTCCATTAACACAGCATAAAGCCTCTCCAATGCAGCAGAGTCTGGGGAGCCAAGAGCAGCCTCGGTCATGCTTCACTCAGGAGCTTTCACTTCAGCCAGCTCATGAACATCCAGGACTGTATTGCCCTTACTCCCAAGAGTAAACATTTGAGCCACTTCGTTCCCCCCCACCCTCTTAAAAGACACCCTGTAAGAAACACAAGTTAATTTTCCAAAGGCAGATACATCAAGAGCATTGGTTGTAAATAGGCACCACCTACCTATGCTCCTCACTGCTCAGCCTGACCATAAGAGTGTAAACAAAGTATTGGCGCGTAGCCTGAAGGGTCTTGAGAATAGGTACCCAGCCCTAGTAAGAAATGAGGAGACCAGGGTGACGAACCCCAAGAGAGCCCTGTACAGAGATAATTGTTCAGGGTGAGGGAGACACCCCCATGTTAGTGTTTAATGTACTAGTGCTTACATTCATCCTAGCTGTAAACGTAGCAGCATTTAAGATGCTGTCAAGCCAGGATGCCACGATTAGATAACTCAGTGCCTCTTTAAAGCCTGTCAGCTCTATGCATTTATGTACATACATGCAGATCAGTTACCCTGCCAATGCTGCTAACAAATCTGCAATCACAGGAAGTGCTGAAGCTCTTTAAAAAGTTTAACAGGTTTTATACATAGCTTTATGAACAGGTGGATGACTCTGTGGGTACTGCAGCATATTAAATACATCTATCCCTTGTACTCAGAACAGCTTTCAGCCTAGAAAAGCACTCAAAGTAAAAATACTCACTGCAGTTGTGGCTTAAACAACTAACATTCTCAGCCCTCCTCCTCAGAATGCAGTACTACACACCTCTTCCTCCCGCCTCCCTCCATATCCAGCCCTCTTAAGAGGCTAAAGAACACCTAAAATATTTCCCTGGCAAAGAGGCTTCCTAAAACATATAAGAGGCAAGTGGTACCATATACGCCAAATACCAGAATCCCCCCTCCCAGTTTTTCCACAAGGTAGCAAAACCAATTCTTCCTAAACTTCTAACACATCACTAACACTGGCTCCCCAACTGAATTCTGTGCATGGATTTATCCTTTATTTAGGAGGGCCCACTCCCCTTCAAAAAAAGTCTGCAAAGAGACAAGCTCTGGCAAGACAAGAAAACCTTCCTCCTGAGTCACAAGGGCAAAGCTATCTATGAAAGCAACCATGTGCATAATAAACAAATTGAAAAACATTTCAAGCTCATGGACATGAGAACATATTGCTTGCTTTATAAACACATGTGAGAGGCTCATCTTCCTTCAGTCTGTTTTACATTTTTGGAACTTTGAATAGTGTATTTTTAAATAACTCTCTGAAGTGTTAATTTCCTAACAGTTTCTGCAGGCACTTCAAAGCAAGCAGGCAAACTAACACACATGGAGAACGTGTTCAAGTAGGGAACAGTCTTAATCCATGGCCTACTGCATGCAAAAAGTTCACCTGAAGTAAAAAATGACAAATTACAACCCCTTCAAAAAATAGTAGCAAAAAGCAGTTTTTAATGTTTGTGGGTTTTGTGTGTTAAAGCACAAGCAGCTCTTTGGAGAACGCTCCTCAAAACCAGGGCTGAAGGAAGAGCAAGAACTCCCTCTCAGCATCCACAGGGAGGAGCAGATACTGTACTCAGGAGCACAAGTGTTTGTCTAGCAATTTCAGTTTGGTTTTGGTAGTACCACTGTTACATCAGTGTCTTCCAGTGGCTCTCTGAAACAGTTCTCCACATAGAACAGTGAAGCTTTACACACTTCTGACAGAACTATAACTTGAGCTACACAGGAAAGGAATGGGGGAAGAAATAAAAAGGCCTGCAGCTTGGATTCTCATACCCTGCACTGTTTGCCTCTTGCTGCTGTCCTCACTCCTGAAGTCTATTCTCCAATCTGATCAAAGTCAGTTACACAAAAAACATTGAGTGCAAGCTCTGGGATGCTTCTGGAGACAAAAAGTTTTAACTACAGATTCAGGGAGAGTGCAAATCAGTAACTTAGCCCAGCAGTGCACTAGTCTCTGAAGACTATTTCACAGCACACAAGCAGTGTTTTAGAGTGGATTAAGAAAATACCCTCTGGCTAGAATACCGCACGATTTAAGGATCTCTTGAGAGCTGGTGG